CCAGGTAAAGCTCCCCAGGCTGTGGTCCACTGAATGTCAGGGAAGTCACTGGTGTGCCATGCTGGTAAAACTTGCCAGAATTCTTCCTTTTGGAGTTTGCCATAAATCCCCTATCTAGGTATTAGGGGAGGCTGTTTATGAGAAGTATCTACCAGAGGGACTTTGCTACAAAACCACTGAAGGATAATACTGGAGTAAACTGTGGACCACAGGGTGCCTCTGTGTGCAGTGCACTGGAGCTAGGTGCTGGAGAAGCTACTGAGCCAAATGAGATGATTATTGGAGCAGCTGCCTATGCTGCAGGGGTTGGAAGCTGCAGAAGCTGTGTTTGCTGGGGGAGGTAAGCGCTGAAAAGGAGTCAGCCCTCCAAGGGCCTGGCAAGCAAGTGCTGGAACCAGAAAGAAAACCCCCCTCTTCTTTCAATGTCTCTCCAGCTCCCTCTACTGACAAAATATTACTGCCATTATGCCAGCAGTTAAAGGAAAAACAAAGGGCTAGCCAGGTCCATTGCTCACAGTGGGCAATGAGGTGACTTCAGAGTCCAGAGGCATCAAAACTGATAACTGGCAGGTGTCATGTAGCTAAAGAAAAGGACAAAGTGGTTTGATTCCAAAGAAGTGAAGACATAGTAAAAATCAGCAATCTTACCACCCAGAGTGAAGTTTTATTCTTCTTTTACATGTTTGATCCTTTATAATAATTAGAAGTATGTATTTTATGCATATGCATAATACACTATGTGAGATATAGTATAAGAGATGAACATTTTAAACAATTAGAATATTATTTACATATGAGTACAGAATGTCATTTATGCAATATTTTCAATAATATAACTCATTTTTTTTCTAAATGAGAGAAATAAATTTCGCAGCTATGAATTTATTTGCCTAGAGTACTGAAGCTGGCTGGGAAATGGTAGTGATTAAAATCCAAGTTTCCAGATTTTTTTCTTGTGACCTGATCATCATCCATCCATTTAGATCTAAGGGTGATGGCAGTCAGGGACAAGGACTGACTAAAGAGAATTCAAGGATAAAGGTTATAGAATTGATTTGCACTTTTTTTTGGGGGGGAGACACAATTTATTTATTTATTTTTAACATTTTTTATTGATTATGCCATTACATTTGTTCTATTCCCTCATCCATTCCCCTCCACCCTGCACACACCTCCCCCACCATTCCCCCCTTTAGTTCATGAACACGTGTCTCAGGTTCTTTAGATTCTGTATTTCCCCTACTATTCTTACCCTCCCCCCATCTATTTTCTATCTACTGTCTATGCTACTTATTTTCTGTACCTTCTCCCCCCTTCTCCTTCTCCCACTCCCCTGTTGCTAACCCTCCATGAAGTCTTCATTTCTATGGTTCACTCCTGATCTAGCTGTCCTCTTAATTTGCTTTTGTTTTAGGTGTGGTTGCTAATAACTGTGAGATTGTTGTCCTTTCACTATTCATGTTTTTTTAACTTCTTTTTCTTAAATAAGTCCCTTTAACATTTCATATAATAAGGGCTTGGTGATGATGAACTCCTTGAATTTGGTCTTATCTGAGAAGCACTTTATCTGTCCTTCCATTCTAAATGAAAGCTTTGCTGGATAGAGCAATCTTGGTTGTAGGTCTTTGGTTTTCATGACTTGGAATACCTCTTTCTAGCCCCTTCTTGCCTGTAAGGTCTCTTTTGAGAAATTAGCTGACAGTCTCATGGGAACTCCTTTGTAGGTGACTGCCCCCTTAGCTCTTGCTGCTTCTAGGATTCTCTCCTTCATTTTAATCTTGGCTAATGTAATGATGATGTGCCTTGGTGTGTTCCTTCTTGGGCCCAACTTCTTTGGGACTCTCTGAGCTTCCTGGATTTCCTGGAAGTCTATTTCCTTTGCCATAACTGGGAAGTTCTCTTTCATTATTTGTTCAAATAAGATTTCCACTCATGGCTGTTCCTCTTCACCTTCTGGTACCCCTATAATTCAAATGTTGGAACGTTTAAAGATGTCCTGGAGGTTCCTAAGTCTCTCCTCATATTTTTGAATTCTTGTTTCTTCATTCTTTTCTGTTTGGTCATTTTTTTCCTTCCTTCTGGTCTGCTCCCTTGATTTGAGTCCCAGTCTCTTTTCCATTACTATTGGTTTCCTGTGCATTATCATTCATTTCAATTAGTTTAGCCTTCATATGTTCCTCTAATTTGTGACTAAAATCAACCAGTTCTGTGAGGATCCTGATCACCAGTGTTTTGAACTGTGCTTCTGAAAATTTGGCTATTTCTTCATCGCTTAGATTTATCAGCTCTGGGGCTCTGAGTTGTTCTTGAGCCATGTTTTTATATGTTTGTGCCTGTTACATATGAGGAGTGGAGCCTTAGTTTTTTACCGGGGGGGGGGGGCATCCAGGTTGCTGGTTTGTGACGCTGCATGTGGGGGCGGGGTCAGAGAGGGAGCAATGGCAATCCTCTCCACTGCCCAGTCCGTCCCACCACTCGCCCCCACCTATTTATCTGAGCTGAAATGTGCGAGCCCACGGCCCTGCGCCATGTGGTCTCAATGCTTGCTTCTTCGGTGGTTTATCTGCATGCAAATGCTGGACCAACCACAGACAGTCAGCCGTGCCTCTTCCCTGTGTCCTCCTGTAGCTAGCCCGCACCTAGGATCTGCGCCTTTGGCTGCTTGCGCACCACCCTGGTCGGGGAACTTTTTGGCCAACCCACTCCGCTTCTGGCTTCGCCCCTCTTACGGATTTAGCTGAGCATTTCGTCATTTTCGGACTCCGTATTGGCGATTTTCTGTGTGGTTTGGTAGAGTTTATTATTGTTATAACTTTATTGTTTTTAGATTTGGTTGTGCAAGGATGCAAGGTGTTTCCACCTATGCCTCCATCTTGGTGGAAGTCTAAGGGCCAAGGGGCACTTGAGGCAACATAGTACCTCTTGGGTTTCATTGCCTAGGTCCTGGCGGACACTCAGCCGGAGTCCCGCAGCACCATCGGGCAGCTCATCTTGGGGTGGGGCTGATTTGCACTTGATTGAGGGCCTTTTCCTGCCATAAGAATAGTCTGGGTCAGATTGAAGAGTCAAGGTGTGGGAGTGCAGGATCAGTCCCAAGGTGGGCTGGGAGTTGAGGGGCACATCAACTAGTCAAGTTCACCAGAATAGGTGAGGAAGAAATGGAAGGAAACTAAGAGACTAGGGATGGGGCCAGGTCACTAAGGCTGTGGCTTAAATAAAAGGAATGTGAGCTTCTTGCTTTCTTTGCCTTGCAGGGGAGGCAAAACCACCTCTACACTTCTTGGGTTTTCAGGTAAAAGCCTTTAATGAAGAGATTAAAAAAGAGTAAAGTAGTTTATTAACTCATGCAGCAACCATCACATGGAGGAAAAATAAAAAGAAATGCAAAGTGGTGGCTTAGAACTGTAGCTTACATAGCATCATCAACAAAAAACAGGACAGAGAAATGACAGGACAAGAAAAGAAGTTTTAGGTTTTCAAAGGCAGCAAACTGGGGAAGGTAAATATATAGCACCAGAACTAAGGGAGAAAGAAGGCTTATTTGTAGATTCCTCTAGTGCCATTTTTGGGGGACCAGTCTGTCTCCAATAAAAGGAGAATTTATTTCCTACCTTTGCCCACGTTCATATCAGCACTATTCTGCCACGTCCACTGTCGCGTCCACTGTTGGATCCCTCTCTCTGTGACAAGGTCCTGAGAGGGGGTGTAAGACTTCAAGGAAGCAGTTTTTAACCTGGTGGACGTGGCATGGAAGGCTTTGTAATATCTATTGTGATTGTGCTTGCTTTAGAGATCATGACCTTTTTGTTTTAATCATTATGAATACCCTGGCAGTGATTCAGATAGTGTGCCTGGACCTTTCCCGGCTTAATAAACAGAATAATAATATCATACTAGAACGTCAGGGAATATAGACACAAGGAAACAATCAGAACAATCTAAGAATTCAAGTTTAATCAATAACAATCATTAGAAAAATACCCAAGATAAGATAGAATACTCTAGGAAATCAGGAGATAATCTCACTACTTTTTTAGAAGGAATTAAAGTGTAATACATGTTTATAAAAAGAATTCCTAGAGAAACTTAAAAGAAGTACCCTTGAAAGCCCCCTGCTACATAGGAACAGCTTCTCCTTTACCTTGAATAGGAATATATATCAACTAAATAGGCAAAGTAATAAGAAAAGCTAGTTAGTTATTACAAACTGAATAGTCACTAGGGAGTCAGAATTTATAGTACACTGAAAAAATATTTTAAGCAAAAAAAAAGTAGATAGCTAAGTTAGACATCACGAGGGCTTTATAATAAATCTCCTATTTTCTCTACTCAGTCTAGCGTATCTTTATGCCCTATACCAAATTCTGAAAAACTTTAATATACAATAAGATATTTTTGACTGTCTGATTAATGGCTCTCCTAGTTAAAATAATTTTTAACTAAATCTATGGGAACTTTTGTACTTTTACTGATTGCCTTTGTGTTGATTTTTTCTGTTTAAATAATCATGTTATATTACAAATATTAATCACTACCTGAAATGAAAACTATAAAAACCTGCTTATACTTGCAATAAACGGAACAGAGCTTCACTGTCCTTTGAGGCGTGTTGTCGTCTGTTACCCAGCGCCGACGCCTTGCCCTCACCTGTGGGACCCCTTGCCCCGCTGCGGCTGGACCGCGGCAAGTGGCGCCCGAACAGGGACCCTCAGGTAAGACCCCTTAAATTATTGTCGAGTAGGCTAGGCTCTCACCGACCGGGTGCTGCAGACCCCCTGGTAGACAGACCAGGTAGCAAAGAGTGAGTAATCATGGGACATGCAGAGTCCAAGGAAAGAGGTTTATTCATTGATATAACTAAGCATATGCTCCATAAGAGAGGAATAAGTGTGTCAGGAAGACAGCTTAGAGATTTTTTTCATTTTGTTCAAGAATGTGCACCCTGGTTCCCGGAGGAGGGATCAGTGAATCCAGAGACTTGGCAGCGACTTGGCCAAGATATGAAGACTTATTATACCCTTCATGGGCCCGAAAATGTTCCAGTAGGTGCTTTTTCCCTTTGGAATGTTTTAAAAGATAGTTTTGACCCCACTCATGAGGTTGCGTGCCTCGCTAAACAGGCGACGGAGGAGGAAAAACAGCCTTTGTGTGCAGCGGTAAAAATAGCAACTTGTGAAAATCTAGCGCCTTCTGCCCCGCTGCCCGCTCTAAATGAGCATGAAAAGAGTGAGAGTGAGTCTGACTCTGACTCGGATAATGAACAGCCTGAGAAAAAGGAAGAGTTGCCACCTGATTATCAGACTGAATTAGAAGAAGAAGCTACTAGATATCATTCTAAAGATTTCGATCCCTTGGCGTTAGCTGCACTGCGAGACCAGAAAGTGAAAGTAAAAATAAAGTCCATTCAGTCTCGGCAAGCGAAGCGTCTGCCTGAGAAGGTCGGGTTTCTAGGGGCCATGAGAGAGGCAAGGAGGCAGGGTGAGACCTTGAATTGCTTCCCAGTGATTTTTCCAATGACTCCTCATGACCCCCCCGCAGTGAGAACCTTTGCCGTTTAAGTTAATAAAAGAAATAAAAACGGCTATTAAGGACTTTGGTCCTACTTCCCCTTATACTTTGCAGCTTGTAGATTCCATTGCTGCTGAGTGGATGACCCCTTATGATTGGCAACAAACAGCAAAATCATGTCTTAACTCTGGGCTCGGTCAGAGAGCACAATATAAAGGTTGGTCACCTGGCGCTTCGAGCCCTCCCTCGCAGTTTTAGAAGCGTGGGAAAAACCTGAAACCCATAAGCGGGGTTAGGGTACCCTGGGTACCAGGCAGCCCTCCCTGACGGTTTTCACCAACAGCACATCTCTGACCCACCACACCACACTCCCCAATAACTAATTAGTTAAAGTTTAAAACAGGCTACAAAATCTGAAACGGCAGAAATCAAAAGTAAAAAAGAAATCTTTTAACAAGTATAGGCTCTCTAAAGAACAAGAGCAATGTTTTATACTAATTTACCAGTTTTTTAAAGTTACTAAATATCTTCTTGATAAAGAATCTTTAGACTTACTTATTTAAGAAAAGTTAGGCAGAAATTGAAACAGCACCAGATAATATAAAATAAAGACTAGTATCTCACTCCCTCCTTTAGAGGATTTAATTTAAAATATTAGTTTGCTTAAATTTTACTTTTGTTTTTATTTTTAAAATAACATCTCAGTCTCAAAATATTTCAATGAGTAAAATAAGATCTCTAATATTATTACATCATAAAATTCTACTCAAAAAAATTTAAATTAATTCTTTAAAAAAAAAACTCACTTCCCTCAAATAATAAGAGGCACAAAAAAAAAGATAATAAGAAAATGTGTCTTTTAACCACTCTGAATCCTCCTTCTAGAGACTCAGAGACTACTTTAATCTTAAGAACAAGAGGTGTAGAGCTTAACATCTCCCCCCTTACAATAATCAATAAGAATTAACAACAAAAAATAAAAATATTTGCCAATAAAAAAACTATTTCTAAAGGTTATAAATGTATTCATAAATTTATCAATATAAAACATAATAAAAGTGACGTAAAAATATGACATATTAAAAAATATTAAAAATCCTCCTTATTTATGCCAGAACTGTGACTTTTATTATAAAACTGAGATCTAAGTACTATCTCCCTGGGAGAACTAGCCCTTCTCCCTGGAAAACAAAGTACCATTTTTTAACTCAGTACCTGTAAACACTGATCATTTCCTTGGGAAAGAACTGGCTATTCTATTCCCAAGGAAAAACGATTAGTCAATCAAGTCACAGAAAGCCCTTAACATATAACCATTTTTTCAAATTATTAAAGAATATCCTCATTTTACAAGAGTTAATCCTCAAAGATTAAGTTCTCAAATAATTTGACAAAGAGATGTCACTCATTACACTCTCCTTAGAAAATTTATATACATTCATATTTCTATCGATACTTCTTCTGGCACTACATACATCTACTTTAAAAAGAAAATCTACAAAAAATATACAAGTCCATTGGCTTGAGGACAGCCTCAGCAAATTAAAACTGATAATAGCCTAAATACTTTGCTTATTCTACTTAAATTTTTCTTCAACATTAAAATATTCAACATAAACAAAAAATACTTTACCATCCAACCAGTCAGACAATTATAGAACGAGCTCATAATACTTTACAAAATCTTCTTAAAAACAAAAAGGGGAGTCATGAGTCCTCCCCCCCAAAATTTAATTTTACTGGCCATGTTTACCTATAATTTTCTAAATATTGATATATTGCTCTGTACTCCAACTATAAAACATTTCCAAACAAAAGAGTCCAAGCCACCTTTATTTAAAAATCTACTAAGAGATGGCACTTGACAGGGCTCTGTAGAACTTTTAACTTGGGGAAGAAGGTATGCTTATATTTGCTTTCCAGAAGGACTCTTAGAACTACAATGATGAAGATGAAGCCATATCACAGAAAAGACTTCCCTGGCCATGACCCACCTCCACCCATTAGACTCTCTTGATCCAGACTTCTCCAAGCTGTATGTCATCTCCCTGAAGTGGAATTCCAACTAACAGCCCTGGAGCGGTATTCAACATCACCTAAGAGAGACTTTTTCTACCACCTTAAAAGAACAAATTGATAAATTACAGCTAGAACTACATTTAGAGCTACAACAGTTACAGGACATTCAACGCCTAACGGAGGAAGAAGTTCTTCAGACCCTCTGTGACAATTTTGACTAACTGAACCCCAAAACATTGGTTTGATAGACTCACTCTAAGAATGTGGGTCCTTGGAACCATTAATTGTTTATTAATTCTAATAACACGTTATAACTTGTTCTTCCTAAAACTCTCTCACCCTGAGTTCAGACACAAGGCCTTACTACATATCTTTAAAATAACTTCCTAAAGCCTGTGTCAATACTCCCCATGCAATTTTAATAAGACCTATTTATACTGAACAACAAAGGTCTTCCTTTTATATTAATTGTTCTAATTATATTTTAACTAATTACATTGATTCAGGACTACCCAAGAGTTTGACTACATTTATGATAGTTTTTCAGCCTTCTCATGTTATGATGTGAATAGTCCTCTCAGGAGATTGGTATACTGTACAAATTTATATATACTAGAAAAAATAGATGAGTTAATAAGACCAAAAAGATTTATAGCCACTCTAATATTAAGAATTACTGCTTTAATCAGTATAATAACCTCTATTACATTATCAACTACTACTTTAGTACAAGAAGTACATACTGCACAACATGTTAATCAGCTCTCTCACAATATTTCCCTTACACTAATTCTGCAAAAAAAAATTAATAAGAAATTAGAAACTAGAATAAATGCCTTAGAAAATACAGTTATATATTTAGAAAACCAGATTCAAAATATAAAGACTCAAATGACTACTAGTTGTCATGCAGATTTTAAATGGATTTATGTCACACCTTTGCCTTATGATCAAAATTCCACCACTTGGCCTCAGGTAAAAACTCATTTACAAGGTATTTGGCACAATACTATATTAAGACCTGATCTTAAAAGCCTACATACTAAAATTACAAAAATTAGTCAAACATATTTAACTGCGCCAAGTTCTGAAATTGCAGACAGAATCTGGAAGTCTATTCAAGAATCCATTAACCCTGTCATGTAGTAGTCTAGTTTAATACATATTGGAATCACTGGCCTAATTATTCTAATTTTAATCCTTGTTTTTCCAGTCGTCTTCCGAGTAATCCTCTCTTCCCTTCGAAAAACTACGTTAGAATTTCATCACTTTCGGCTGAAAAATAAAAGAGAGGAAAATGCCACGTCCACTGCCGCGTCCACTGTTGGATCCCTCTCTCTGTGACAAGGTCCTGAGAGGGGGTGTAAGACTTCAAGGAAGCAGTTTCCAACCTGGTGGACGTGGCATGGAAGGCCTTGCAATACCTATTGTGATTGTGCTTGCTTTAGAGATCATGACCTTTTTGCTTTAATCATTATGAATACCCTGGCAGTGATTCAGATAGTGTGCCTGGACCTTTCCCGGCTCAATAAACAGAATAATAATATCATACTAGAACGTCAGGGAATATAGACACAAGGAAACAATCAGAACAATCTAAGAATTCAAGCTTAATCAATAACAATCATTAGAAAAACACCCAAGATAAGATAGAATACTCTAGGAAATCAGGAGATAATCTCACTACTTTCTTAGAAGGAATTAAAGTGCAATACATGTTTATAAAAAGAACTCCTAGAGAAACTTAAAAGAAGTACCCTTGAAAGCCCCCTGCTACATAGGAACAGCCCCTCCTTTACCTTGAATAGGAATATATATCAACTAAACAGGCAAAGTAATAAGAAAAGCTAGTTAGTTATTACAAACTGAATAGTCACTAGGGAGTCAGAATTTATAGTACACTGAAAAAACATTTTAAGCAAAAAAAAGTAGATAGCTAAGTTAGACATCACGAGGGCTTTATAATAAATCTCCTATTTTCTCTACTCAGTCTAGCGTATCTTTATGCCCTATACCAAATTCTGAAAAACTTTAATATACAATAAGATATTTTTGACTGTCTGATTAATGGCTCTCCTAGTTAAAATAATTTTTAACTAAATCTATGGGAACTTTTGTACTTTTACTGATTGCCTTTGTGTTGATTTTTTCTGCTTAAATAATCATGTTATACTACAAATATTAATCACTACCTGAAATGAAAACTATAAAAACCTGCTTATACTTGCAATAAACGGAACAGAGCTTCACTGTCCTTTGAGGCGTGTTGTCGTCTGTTACCCAGCGCCGACGCCTTGCCCTCACCTGTGGGACCCCTTGCCCCGCTGCGGCTGGACCGCGGCACTATTCATGGTATCCAGAAGCTGGAAGCAGTCTAAGTGTTTACTGACAGATAAATGAATAATTAAAATGTGGTGTACACACAGTAGCATATCATTCAGCCTTAGGAATAAGAGAATTTTTGGAAGGACACTTGACTTGGGGTAGTGAACACACAATACAATATACAGATAATGTATTATAGAATTGCACACATGAAACCTGTATAATTTTATTAACCAATAAAGTCAATAAATTTTTTAAATAAATAAAATTAAAAAAATAAATTTGTAAAAAAAAAAGAAGGGAATTTTGACTCATGCTACAAAACAAATTAACCTTGAGGACATTATGATCAGGGAAGGTCAAGAGTTTTGCTAAATTACTCGGTGGTATTTCTGCCTCAGCATCCATTTTGAGTGGCCAAGCAAAGTGTAGGGGGCTTGAGCCGACACCAGGCCTTCCCTGGAGCCATGGTTAACAAGCTTGCAGAATCACAAATACGGTTAAGTTACTGACATAACTTCCCCAATGTGGGCAAGTCTCCCTCCTAGGGCCTTCCTTGTGTATATCCCTTAGGTAAGATTCTGTGGAGCTTACCAAAACTGTGCTCTTTTCGGTTTGAATTGGAC